TTATATAAAATTGTTGATTCTAATTCTATCTTACTCTAAATCTATAGATGTATCGTAACCTGAAGACCCCCCGCCTCAGCACAGCATGCTACCGTGCCATGTTCACCCCCCGTGCTCCATAGGTGGAGAAGGAGATTGTGGTCATCTCCGATGATGAGGAGTGGATGGCTACCCCGACACCTGCACCAGCACCTACTCCTACTCCAGCTGTTGCACCGGTCTATGCTGTTGCAGCTACCCCGATGGAGTCATCAGCTACTTCACCTACGCCTGTGCCACCCCCAGTTGTCCCTGTGGTGGATGAGGAGATGGGCTGGACGTGCAAGTACGACTTCAAGCAAGCCCTGAAGACGGCCTACTACCACACCCTCCTTACTCATGTGCTGGATGACTACTTCACTGATCTACACGCCTCCATCAACTACTACTGTGCGGAGTATCAGCACCCTTTGGAGGCAACTTTTTAGAAGGTAGAGCTGGTTGTCACTGCCTATGCAGCTAATGCATCACAACGCTTCGTGTTGTGTCACGAAACGGTAGTTGCCTCATTCAACATGAGGAACGACCGACCGGGGTTCGAAGGCTGGCCCGCAAAGGGCTCGAGGCTGCATCATGTCAAATAGAGCCAGGGGAGAAAACACATATGAGCCCCAGCGGCCCTTGCCCAGTCTGCTCCGAAGCAGACAGGGTCATCTCAACCTTCTCATTCGATCCTAACCTCGAGCCATGCCAACAAAATCTCCAACAAGGGGAGGCTAGCGGGCCACCTGGGTCGGTCTCTGGAATGACCCGGGCATCTATTGGAACACGGGTTTAGGAGTAGTGGAATGCCACATGAGGGCTATGTCGACCCCGTCACGAACGACGGACCTGGATTCCACTCGAACATGGCCATTAGCGAGCTCACCGAGCACGTTGCTCAAGCCATCGAGGCAAGCAATTTTAGCTCAGCCCCTCCAATTGAGGAAACCACGGACGAGGTAACGCACGGAACTAGACCAACCCCTGCCAAGCCCAACAGGGCTCAGGGGCTCAGGTCGCCCGACACCGACTCAGGAAATCAACCGACCGCGCAGGTCGCGGGCGGGACAAACACGGGCGAACACCCCAAACGACAGTCTATGGCCCTAGGAAAGAGTACCAAGTTGCTCAGCCTCCAACCGACTCATCAGTCGGACGTAGGCTTGGGGGCTACACCCACCGGTGTGCTCGCGTGCACCTGCTGTTAAAACAAAGAATTCCCCCGCTGGCAAGACGAAAAACCCCCAAGACGATTCTACCTGAATCGCCCGGGGGCTCGAGGGCTACACCCGTGGGTGCGCTCACGCACACCCGCTGTCAAGATAAAAAATCCCTTAGATGATTCTACCTGAATCGCCCGGGGGCTCGGGGGCTCCTGTCGGGTTTATAAACCCGGGGTCCCTCATGGACCTGCTTCCCACCAAGAAAGCACGGCCCAACAGATGACGTTGCGAACGATGCGCAACTCCTAGGCCGCCCCAAAAACCTAACGACAGGCCAGAAGGGTGAACTAGTCTCCAACCAAAAGGCCTGGCCGAGGAGAAACAACGCTCGCTTCCGACTCTGGCCCGACTCTCCGACCAGAAGGCCTGGCCAGAGAGGAACGGCGCTCGCTTCCGACTCTGGCCCGCCTCTCCGACCGGAAGGCTTGGCCGAAGAGGAACGGCGCTCACTTGACGCTCGCTTCCGACTCCGACCCGCTTCTCCGACCGGGAGTACACCGAACCTCTGTTTACAGCTCTTCTCCGACCGACGGGTTGGAACCGACTGGGAAATGACCTAACGGGGATGCCCGCTCTGTAAGGACCCAAAGAGTTAGGCGGAGCAGATAAGGGAAGGCGCCCAAGTCAACCACAATACCGAGGACCGTACCCTGCGTGCTTGCAGGACAATACTGTCAGGCCATGCCAAAAGGGTGCTTCACAAACCTTCTAGGCATGTCAGAACCCAGACAGTGTTGCGGGCGCCGTCCTTTGTCCTATAGTGTTGCGGGCGCCGTCCTCCGCCATATCAGGTGAACACGGTAATGCCTGTCGCTTGCGTCTAACTTGAACAGTATTGTAGGCACCGACGACCGTCTTGTACCCGACGGCATGGACAACAAGACTAGGAAGCACACACACTTTCTTCCTCTCACACACACTCTCTCTCTCTCTCTCTCTCTCTCTCTCTCTCTCTCTTGTAAAGCCGTCCCCTTCATCTATAAAAGGGGATGCGCTCTCTCCGAAAAGGAGACGATTCGACCACCAGGATCGAACAACCTACGATTCGAACGATTCCAACAGAGCACACGCTCAAATACTTAGCGCACGTAGGAGCTTCCGTCTCTCTTGGCCCTTCGGTCCAGAGTTCGACCGGACCTCTTGCACCCCCCCCACATCTTACTCCCTCTCATTTATAACCCCATAGCAAACTTTGAGCACCTGGGCTCAGGAATAAAGTCATCGACCGACTCAAACTGGACGTAGGGCACATTGCCTAAACCAGTATAAACCCTGTGTCATTGAGTACTAGGCCACATCGGATCACTACGTACGCCAAAACGACAAATATCTACTAGTTGATCACTTTTCACACCGACATATAGTGGGGTAATACTCCAGAAGGTGTTTGTCATTGTTTTTCTTCTCGGGTGTTAGAACATATTACATATAAATATGTTGTATATAGGCAGCGCTACATTAAATACGTAATCATTCTTATGCTTTCAGATCATCTAAGCACCATGAACAATCTGCGAATTCAATCATGCCCTTCTTGAGTAGCTGGGTCACCAATGAGTCGTGAGTGAATCGACCTTAGTCCTCGATCTATTGGTATGCCAATCCCTAGAGATTGTTTAGCAAGAACACATGAGATGAAAATGTGTTGTTCCACTTCCTGGTCACATAAAAGGTATTTTTCAAGGTGCCGTGGCCCTCTTGCTCCGTGCTAGATGTTCAGGTAGCAGTCAACAACAATTGTAGACAGCTAACCACAAAAAGAATAATTAGCACGTTTAGGCTGTTGATTTGAGAAATGAGTTAGTCCATCACCTCGGGAGTGAAGCCAGGATTAAATGTCCCCGAGTCGGTCCAAGCACACATTACTAATAACTTTTAGCTTATGATAATATACAATAATTTTGGTAGCTAATACTTTAATATAATAATACTATAGACAATATTATATAAGCTCACACATTATCAATATAAATATTATTTTCACGACTAAGATCCTTTAGTGTTAAATTGAAATTAGGAGAATTGCTTTTATCCTAGATGTGAATTCTTTGTGAGTTGGTTCCCGACGTGTCGATACCGTCTGTGCACTCCCATAATTTGATCCTACGTTTTTGTGCTAGTGGAGATCACGGATCGTGACTCTAGGGGCTCCTATGGTTAGTGGGCTTAAACTGTGTTAGTCAGGAGAATGACATGCAGTTTATGTTGGCTAACTGAGGAGGGTTCCTCACAGATTTGGTGCGCCCCAGCCCACACGTCTCGCCAAAGCAACTCCATTTGGTGCCACAACAAGCAGCTCTGGTGCACCCCCTTGAGACCATTTTTTAGGGGAACCCCATTGAGACCTCATGTGCGCTTTCTACTCCTTAGCTGCCGCATCTCTGTTCTGGAGCAAATGAGCAGTGGAGATGGGGAGTATTTTATACTCATGATGGGGATAGCTGTTTTGACAAGAGTTTGAGGTAACTGCCATCCAATTGTCACTTTTCCTCATGGTTGTTTGTGGGAACACCTTCATGAAAATATATTTTCATCACAGTTAATGTACCACCGTAATGAAATAAAATATTTTCGTTATATATGTTTTGCACACCTTTCACAAATATGTCACTTTCATGAAATCTTTGTTTTCTGGTAGTGATATACATCTAAAATAAATAATTAATTTATTTGCAAGGGTATCTAAAATAAATAATAGAACAAAGGATACAACTCTATGTGTAGGGCAAATAAATGATAATGAAATGAATATGAATGGGTGAAGACTAGTCAAAACATCTTGAATTTGAAAGTTTTAGGAACTTGCAATGCAACAAGTTTTCCATTACTCATTATCGAATCAAGGCATTATCAGTAGTTATGATGACATTAACTTCACATTTCACATGATGAGAGGAACATAAAGAAAATACAATATCATCCACATTTCAGATAACATAAATACATGCCTAACCATTAGAGCATTATAGTTGGTCCTTACCCAAAACTAATTTACAATCCATTACATAGCTTTCCTTAATATAATATAGAATACAAACTCAAATTTTTTTTATTAATGGAGACATCATCACCCTCTGGCTTTGGCTTTTGACATTTTGTGTAGAGTTGTCTTACATCCCAACTGTAAGAAACATGAGATGTCACAACGACACTGTAACTCAGATAGAGTGAGAATCAATACAAGCATAACTATAATGTTCTAATATTTCACACAAAGCTATGATAAGATATGTGTACATTCAGTATATACAACCTACATACATGATGTGTTGCTCACCCGTTAGCCCTGATTTATTTTTTTCTGAATACATAGTTCTTTTCTAAATAAAATCTTAGTGCTCTTGGTAGAATAATGGAGCTGATGCTATCTTCATAATTTTATAATATTTTAGAGTAGCATTCTTTTAAGATCATGCATATCAAACTTTGAACCATAGATATCTTGGTCACTACTATAATAAGGAGTTGAAAATTATTATTATTCACCATACAATTGTTCCACTAATAGTGTAATAGTTTTGCAGGCATAATCAATACTACCTAGTTTATTGTAATTTTAAGTAATTAGCTCTCATAAGGCGTATTGGTATTCATGAATTTGTGTTTTGCATAGTGTGTTGACATCTAACATTGTTAGAAAAAAATATTGACAACGTATATATTATAGATTGCAGATCTAGTAGGATGTACTTTATACATCAAAGATGACATATAATGAGAGTACAGGGGTGATTGATGTAAAAATTCATACCTTTACTATCTCTTAGATAAATCTTTCTTCCTCAATTGAATATACAATTTCACTGCTTTCTTTAAACCATCCTAGACCATATTTCAAAAATTAGAAGGTTATGAACATTTCAAATAAAAATGAGTTACACCAATAGAGAAAACTAAGAAGATAATAGAAAAAGAGTTTAAGTTTAGAACCTGTAGTGTCACAATAGGTTTGTAGCCAAGTTCTTCAACAGCTTTGTTACAACTAAATGTTCTATTGAGTGTTACATATCTAATCCTTGCCGGTGTTAGCATTTGAGGCTGGCAAATTCCAAAATGAGAGAAAACGACCCTATATGCCCACTCTATCAAATAGCTTGCTGGCTTGATAACAAATGTAGGTATCCTTATATTGGATATTCTGAAAAAACATTCAACATATATATTAGTAATGCGAATTGTTTTGTATCATCTCTACTAAGTATGAAAAATATATATTCAAATTAAACAAAATAAAATATGTATAAGGACAAAGATGTATAAGCTATTATATGTCTCATAATAATAATGAAAAAACTAAAAATCAAATCAATTATTTAGTGAAAATTATAAATGGAGAAAATAGTTCCAAATTGAACACCTTCTCTACATTATATTTATAAAGTGCACTTCAGAAAATCAACAGTTCTAATAAAGAGTTGATGAAAAAAGAAGTAAATATTACGGAGATGTATAAATGAACAAAAGTACTACACCATATATAAATACACAATCTAGAACCTTGGATAATATCATCACCGGGGAACCATAACATTTTTGTAATATATAGGTATGTATCTCCATATTTTTTAGGGAAGTAAACAATACCAGTTATTAACAACAATCATTCAAATATGAAATGCATTAACTTTAAATGCCAATATTATAAATCAAGGCCTTCAATAAGTAATTTGGTTATGTGTTGCTTAATTTTTTCATAGGCCATGCCCTATGCACTATCAAAATCGAAACTGCAATTTTCCAAGAGGATTACAACTTGACCTAGGCATCCAATGCAATATATAGGAAATGTACTGTAAAATGGGACAAAACAAAAATACATGAAATGAATTTAGGTGCAAATTGAATAGCTATTTTGTAAACTGCACTGTGAAATAAAATGTTCTATTGAGGTATAAGCATATATCCATAGAATGAACACCTTTTGTGTCCAAGTTCTTCTTGAACAAGATATGTGAAGTCCCACATATTCATTGGCTCCATATTAGTTATAAAGTATGCCTAAAAAATTCAAATATGTCATGATATAATAACTTATAGATGAAATATGTTTTTCCATTCAATAGTAAGAACATACTTTTCCTCCACTGGTTCTTGCACCCTCAATAGTAGAAAGAGTCTTATCAGCACAAAGATGACCATGTACAACATTTTCAACATACACAAAATCATCACAATTCTTCCCATCACCAATAGTAACCTGTAGCATATTATTCTAGTTAGATTGTTTATAGAAATATTGATCGATCCTAAACCTGTCTATTAGTTCTTTCATTGGCTCCAGACTAGTTAAACATTCTTACTGATGCCATTGATAGCCATGATAATTTTGTATTGTTTTTGCTTCATTTGGTATTATTATAGGCAGTACTATTACTAGCCCGGTTTCAAAAGTATCACTATAGCCTCGAAATTATTAACACTACATGGAAATTTAGGCCTCATTTTGGCAAGAGAAATAAGATATGAATTAAACTCTAAAGAGTTTATTTTGTAGTGATTTGGGCCATGTTTGCATGAAAATTGTTGTTATATTTTGTACTCTCTCGGTCCCACAAAGAGTTTATTTATAGCAATTCTTTAGCAGATTAGTTGTAACACTGTTGAATACATAAGGGATTAATATGGTTTTAATATGGATTAAATAATTTTTCTATGATTGACAGGACACATTAAAAGAAGGCCAAGTTGTCTTTTTTTATTGTCTCTTGATGGATGATCATATGTTATGGATACATAGAGCTTGCATCAAATGTATGTCATTTGACTACTCATACACATTATATTGTTTTATGTTTAGATCACGAAATTACGCTTTGTCACAAGGTTTAAGGAAGGGGGGAAAAGGTGCAACAGTACCAGCCGTCTTATGAGCCATGACCAAGTCGTTTTTTCTGTTCTTTTACTTGTACCTCTCTCCCATGATTGAGGCTTGCCCAGCCCAGCCACCACCTCTGTCCATTTCGGCGAAGGAGAAAAAAGCAACACAGGGGAGAACAATGAGGATTTAGGGCTTGCTTCCTCATCATGCATGCCCGTTCCTCTCCAAAAAAAAAAACAAGCGTCCCTCTGTTCTCTCCTATCTCCATTTTGCCATTAATTTTATGTAACTCATGCAATGTTGCAGAGGCATCACTCAGTACTATCAATGTCTAATACTAAATATAGATATTTGTTTATGATCCAAAAATGTTTGTACAATTTAATTTTTCTTGTTAGTTCTATATGTAATATTAACCATAGCATAGAGTCCCTTACATGTGTCCATCCATAACGATCCAAAGTTGGTATCACCATGTCACCTGGGCCAAATATGGCACCAGGACGTAAGCAACACGTTAGAAGGTCATTAGTGCCATTGGCCTTGATAACTAACTTTTCTGCTTCTGCCTTTGTTTGTGCATATGCATCAGGAAACTGCCAATAAAAAAGTGTGTGGTAAAAAATGTATACATGACTTTACACTGTAAGTGCGTGTGACTGATTATTAATATTTAAGATATCATAATATGTATATAATGCTTTTTCAGTAAATCTTATGGTGTAACCTTATCTGGGTATGGCAATGATTCATTTACATCAAAAAGTCCATGAACGCCGTCAAACACAACACCACTAGAACTGGTGTATATAAGCCTTTTCACCTTGCATATCTTGCAAGCATCAATTACATTCATCGTTCCTGTGTTGGTATAGCATATCAATAATATATATAGATAGTTAGTAGGTATGCAATAGCTTTAATTTGTCATTTAATGTGATGGCATACATATATAGTGTCCTACTGGTCCTAGCAGGATTATTATTGTAATACTCACCCTCCACGTTGACCTTGTAGTGAAGTTGCAAGTTGTTCTTGCTAGGATCCGCAGCGGCTGTGTGGAAAACAACATCTACCCCTTCAAAAGCTGAATACAAGAAACCAATTAAATATTGAGCTTATACATTATTTAATTCACACCGCCTGATCGTATTGCATATCAAGGGAACATACACACAACAATTTTATGTAGTACGCGGCACATTAGTCCTATTCATTAATTAGTACTAATTCAAGTATTTATCACCTTTGGTAAGCTGCTCTAGGTTGCAGACATCCACTGAGGCATAGACGGCGCGGCCATCACGGAGAGCATTGCCCAAAAGCACTTCCATGTCGCCAAGGCCGAGCACAACAGTAGGGGCGAGGTCAGTGATCCGGACGCGCCACTCACCAGAGCGGAGCAAGGCGGCCACCAGGTGCCTCGCCATGAATCCCCGGCCGCCGGTCACCGCGCACCACCTCGTCTCGCTCTCGCTGCCATCATCACGCTCCAACGACCCCATCTATAGAGAATGTAGTACGCGTTGGCACGGGTATTGGTTGTGTGTGTGTTCACGCATTAGCCCTGTACATGTATTTATAGGCAGCACACTGATCTACAGTTATTTGTACCTCGTGCACTAATACTGGTTACAATTAATCAGTCAAATTACTGGCCAATACACACAAGTTCAACAAAAAAACCCTTGTCGAAACCAGTGCACCAAACCAGTACACCATCGTTGGGTCCCACATTCAAGCTCTGCCGGTAGGAAGGCGTTTTCGCAGCTTGTCGAAAAAAAATCCACCACTAAAAATAGAGAGAATTCTCTGGCTGCAATCAAAACATTAAATAGTTCCTTGGTTGCTATAAAAAAAATATAGCATCCCTTGGTTGTGATCAATTTGTATTTTTGATTTCTTCCTTGCCATCACTGTGAACAGCAGGTACATTCCTGGATGGGAAAAGATAGTTTTACCCCTCTCTTGAATTTTCTCCAACAATCCTTAGACCATGTGCAAGGGGGAGGCGCCTGGTCGGTGGGGCCCAAGACGAGGCGATAGGTGGCGGTGTTGAGGTGTTGGACGGTGGTGCGGTTTGGTCGGTGGCAAAGTCGAGGAGGCGTTTGGTCGGTGGCGGCCTATGCGTGGCGGCGGCAGCGCCCTGCATGCAGCGCGGCCCACGTGTGGTCCGTGCGTGGCGGTGGCGGTTCCTGGCGGCACGAGGTCTGGCCACGCAGAGCTCGGCGTGGCGGTGCTCAGGCCTCGGTGGGTGGCGGTGTTGAGGTGTTGGTCGATGGCGCGGTCTGTTCGGTGGCAAAGTCGAGGAGGCGTTCGGTCGGTGGCGGCCCGCGCGTGGCAGCGGCGGCGCCCTGCATGTAGCACGGCCCGCGTGTGGCCCGTGTGTGGTGGTGGCGGTTCTTGGTGGCACGAGGTCGTTGATAAAATTGAGGATAATACTACACTACCACAAAAAAAATTATTAGACATGCCTTTTTTATTTACAAAGGACGACATAAATTTTATGGTCGGTTTATAGAATTTGCGGCTGCCTTTGTCAAAATCTTAATTTGTCAAAATCCTCGTTCTCCTCCTGGCGGTCCTCCCCCTTTGTGGCTTCCTTCCCCCCAAATGGCGTTGGTGGGCGTCAGTTGGAGCCCAAATGCGCTCTTAGGCGATGCTACTCATGGCTGCCGCATGTTGGTTCCGACAAAATGCCTCACAACTTCCTAGCTGTCGTCTGTTGGATCCAACTCAATACCTTACAGTTGAGTTCTTCAGAATACGTCTTTGGTGGTGGCATAGGTTAACAAGTGGTGCTTGCACTCGCTTCGGTCAGTAGGTAGAGCGGGTAGCTAAGTCATGTTGTGTTTGTTGTGTTTGCTAAGTGTTGTAATTCTACTCTCTCCCCCTCTCTTCAAGTTGTAATTGGCACCAAGTCGAACTTTGGGGTCCTTGACCCACCACCCACCAGACCCCGTCTGGAATCTGTGGTAATATATTCAAGTGGGGACTCTTCGTTCCCCCGGTGTTGCGCTAAAAAATCCTAATTTCTTGTCGTGATTGCTTTAACATCGTCATCCACAGTTTTCTACGTGATTCGACTACATCATTTTTGATACGGTGCAAGCTTATGTCATACTCATGATATCCTTTCAAAAATCAGACGGCTACTGTGCTAACTTGGAGTATCAGATTCTAACGGGTGATGCAGAAGCATCTCATGACCTTATTTTGGCACCCATCCTATTTTCTAACTCGTTATAATTATTAATACAAGCCAAGTTTAGTGGATCTTTCAAAAAGATCTCTGCTTCGCGGGGAGGTGGGGGGAAGGGAGGGGGCGGCCGAGCTCTGGCCACCCCGGCGTGCCGTGGCCTCGCGCGCTTGCACGGCAGAGATAGAGGGAGGGAGCGAGAGAGAAAGGGGAGAGGAGACGGAGTAGACGAGGAGACACTCGGAGAAGACAGATATTTTTGTATGGACCAGTGAATAGGGGCTACTAACAGATCTCGACATCCAAGCTGTGATCAAACAAACCAAAATAATTTTGCTATCATGGACGGCCTAAGCATCAGCTAAACTAATTAATCTGCTTTGATAAGAGTAGATTTACGCTCCCCCTACCCACCACACACACACTAGCACCCACCCATGCTCCGCCGCTACATCAGTGCAAACTGTTTGTGTACTAACGTTCATTCCCGAAGGATGACTGCATAAAGTGGTACAGCTACCTGCCATCGATGGTCCTAGCTCAACTAATTCCAAACAGTAGGTGAGGGTCGACGTTGTTGGCAAGACTTTTGTCCCGTTGGTTTGGTTTATAAGCTATGACTGAAAATACTGTTGACTTATTTGTTGTGAGAGAAAAATATTATTCTTTGACTGATAAAATATGGCTTATAAGCCAAACGATCGGGGCGTTTGTGATGGATGTGGGATCCCGCACGTGCTGCTGCGTCTCTTGCTGCACGTGACGTGGTTAAACAGACCTAGTAGGCCCCGATTTGCATGCCTTGCGAACGCATGCTGCATGCGGCGGTCATACAAAACTACTGTTCTAGTCTTTCCCTGCATTCTTTTCGACGGAGCAAAGGAGGGCTGTAGGTATTATTGCTTGTGTTGCTCCTCATTTTTTTATACGAGTATTTAGTACCTAGCCGGCTCAAAACTTAAAAATCTTTATTGCCTTCTCGTGCACATCATCATTAAATATATATAGGAGCTTTTTGGTTTGACGTTTTATACCGGTCATCGGTTCGAAAGGGTTCCGTTGTTTTCTGTTTGGATGGATGAGTCCGTAATAGACACTACGGGAGACGCACTCTTTGCCGAGTGCTTGGCGCTTTGCCGAGTGTCGAAACACGGGCACTCGGCAAAGAGGCAGTTTGCCGAGTGCCACACTCGGCAAAGGCCGTCTTTGCCGAGTGTCAAACACTCGGCAAAGAGGGACACTCGGCAAACGTCCTATTTGCCGAGTGTCAGACACTCGGCAAAGAATAACCCTCGGCAAAATACCTCAGCCGACGCCGGTGGCCCCTCCGTCATCCTTTACCGAGTGCTGGCCGTTAGCACTCGGCAAACGTGCTGTCTTTGCCGCGTGCTGCAAGCCTGGCACTCGGTCGTTAGCACTCGGCAAAACACAAAAAAAAATTAAAAACAAAAATAAAAAAACTTTGCCGAGTGTCGGAATTGGCACTCGGCAAAGGAACCTCTTTGCCGAGTGCCATGCTTGCAGCACTCGGCAAAGACTATTCAGATTTTTTTTATTATTTCGGATTAAAAGAACCATGAATTTCTTTGCCGAGTGCCCGCATCTCGGCTCTCGGCAAAGAGCCACCCCACTTAACCCTAGCGGGCCGGCCGGCCCGCTCCCACTCTCTCACTCCCTCTCACTGTCGTGTGCGCTCGGCCCCGCATCGCCGCCGCGCGACCACCGGCACCGCCCCGGCCCCGCTCCGCCGCCGCAGCCAGCCGGCCCCGCCCCGCCCCGGCTCCGCTGCCGGACGCGGCCCCGCCCCGGCGCCGCTCCGCCGCTGCTCCACCGCCGTAGCCGGCCCCACCCCGGCCCCGCTCCGCCGCCGGTGGTGCCCTGGCCGGCTGCTCCCCGCCCCTGACCTGCTGAAGTGGAGGAGAGGAGGAGCAGGGGATCCAGTAGAGGAGAGAAGGGAGGTGGAGGAGAGGAGAAGGGAGAAGGAAGAAGGAGAAGGGAGGAGAAGGAGAAGGGAGGAGGAGGAGCCTCGGCCGCCGGCCATGCCCCTCGCCGTTCGTCCCCGCCGTCGTTCCCGCCCCTCACTGGAGACGAAGGTGACCCCGGCACCGCGTCGCCCGACTCCACCGCCACCCAAGGTATAAAGCCCCCCCGGTTGTCGGCCTTCGTGCCTTGTATGTCATTTGCGGCCTTCGTGCCATATGTGGATGTGTGGGCCTTCGTGCCATACGTGGATGTGTGGGCCTTTGTGCCGTATATATGTTGTTGGCCATCGTGCCGGCTTTTTTCTTGCAGATTTTGGAAACCTCCCCGTATAGGGGAGGTTCTGTCGAAATTTTTAACTTATAGTATTATAATTCTTCTTTTGCAGAGCAGGACCCGTCGGAGGGGACCCGGAGT